GTATTATATTTATCGTTTTTATTTTATTCAGCATGGGACAAAGAAGAGGCTGTAGGCCTGGAAGAGTAGAGTACATTCCCATATTTACTAAAAATAACTGCGATTTTATTACTTCGCTTTGCTTTTATTATTTTTACTGCACATTTGCAACAACTAAAACCAAAACATTTAATGGGTTGAAAAGAGAATTGTATTAACTTGTATAGGATTTTTCATTTGTGTCCATAGAGAATGTCTATACGTTCAGGATACATCCAGCCAAAGTTGAAGTTTTCTACCATTTTTAATGTAGAAAACTTTTCTTTGAACAGGTGTTGCCCAGCCTTAAATATCTGTGACGCACTGTAGTTGCCCCCTAATTAAGTAACATGTCGTTGGCACGTGTCATTGAACTGTTTTGAGAGTTTCCTTCTCCATTTTCCGTCCACACACACACACACACAGATACAAAAGTAATCGCACACAAAGACACACCACACGATGGCTGTCATTTACTGTAAGGACGCGACAATGCACGTAGACGGAACCGAAGGACACAAGTGAGCAAGTGACATATTTTGTGCCAAGTGATAATTGATATTTTATTGTTTGCTATTTTGTTCGAGTGTTCGAGTTTCTTTTTTGAAGTGTTTTGACATCCCTCGCTAATCGGCTTTCGGGGGCGTGGCCATGATAATATTGTATTAATGGCCATGACAATGACGCGTTGTGTATTACTGTGGGTGCCTGTGGTGGGGCGCTTGTCCCTGCGACTGCGACTGCGACTCCAGACATAGACTGGAGGACAACGCAAAAAGTGTCCAATAAATGTTGCATAGTTGTCGGTGACTTGTTGCCACTGACATTGTTGACCTTATCAAAAGCACAAACAGACTTCCACTCTCCACCCACCCATTCCATGGGTTGAACCACATATGAATGTACATTGTATAATATATCTAAAAGTATATCCATGGGTGGCAATAAAAAACACACTCCCCCACACCATCATCAGCGCGCACAGAGTGAACCTTTTGTTGGGGTTTGTTAAAGCTTTTGTCTTGGCCCACAAAAATATGCAATAATGCCGGAGCTGTGCCCAAAAATAAGAATGCGACCTCCTTGGTCTAGCCTGATTCCAGGGATAAAGGGCAACTGGGCCACAGGGACACCCCACACCACACGACTACAGAGGATACACAGGGCAAACAGTGGAGCTTTGATGTGATTTGGGTTAGGGGCCCAGGAATCTATGCCCGCACAAAGGTTATGTCAGTCATTTGGGGCAGACATATTGTCTCGGGCGCCGCCACCCAACAAGTGACACGCAAAACAGAACTCTCCTTATGCTCCCGATACCCAGTACTCATAGAGTAGAAGTGGTTTTCGTCTCCTTTTATAAGTCTTACTCGTAGAATTAATAAATCTCAGACCGGGTATCCTTTAGTCGTATCACTAGATTCACCTCTGACTAAAGTTCAACCACTTATTGTTTTTTTTTTGCAGACGATTGTTCCTACTTGGCTGCCATGAATGCCACTTCGCCAAAGTCATCGCTGGTCAAGCTCGGCCTCCACACCAACAAACAAAAGACGCTCAAGGTGATGGTGCTCGGCCAGAGCGGTGTGGGCAAGACGGGTGGGTTTCCCCTCGACCATTTGTTTTTTTTTTTTGGAAATTAGAAACCTTAAATACGTTAATCTGCCCTCCCATAGCCATGGTGGTGCGTTTTATCACACGCCGCTTTATAGGGGAATATGACCCGAATCTGGAGAAGATCTATACGTGCCAAACGACCCTGGACAAGGAGCAGGTGCAGTTCGATATACTCGATGCCACAGGGCATCTGCAGGTGAGCTAATTTGTTGGTCTCTTATATCGAAGTTTTATTACTGGATTCGTTTTTGTTTAGGAACTGGACGGTGTTACCCTGGAGTCGAATATACGCTGGGCGGATGCCTTCATACTAATGTACTCCATTACGGACAAGTGCTCCTTCGATGAATGCAGTCGCTTAAAGTTCCTCATTAACTACAACAAGCGAAGACGCAAGCTGGGATCTGCCAGCAAAGTAAGTAGCTCAGAAATGGTGTTGGATGGCAGGAGGATTAGCATCCGCTTGAAGATTCCAACGACTACAAACACCAAAGAGAACGAGAAGGAACGTGTGAGTCGCTTCTTTGGACGCGACTGTACTTTTATACCCGTACTCAGTCAGTATTTAAAGTTTGAAATACACTTGTAGCAGTGAGCACTTGAGTCTGGAAAGAATATTTGGCTGGTCTAGCTCTTATAGTCTCTGAGATCGAGGCTAAACTATTTTTGAGTTCGGTATAAAAACAATCCCGAAAATGGTGACGTGCGGCACTACTATTTCCATGATTTACATATACTAGCTTTATAATCAAACTTTGGTTGAAAAAGGAACAACCATTATTGAGAGAAAACACAATGATTTTTAAACTGTTCTTTATATCGAATGTGCTTAGATCTAAAAATTTGACAAATCAAGTTTCCTGTCGTTTATATTTCATTCCAAAATAATATCAAAAGTTAGTGTTCGTTCGTCTAAAACTGAATTTTGTGATTGTAAAATTTTAAAATGGATAGTTTTGAAGATTATTACAGCCGGATTTGCACACTATTGGACGGAGTTGTGGAGTTGCCCATGTGGCCAAACCACGAGCTGACCAGCTCTCTTTTTGCTATGCCTATCAGTAAGTGATCCGTTAGTGAAAACGATAGAAACCGATCTAGCTCTAGCACCACCCTGTTGCAGATGAGGCAAGAAATAAACTCCATGAGGCCCAGGCCATTGGGAAAAAGGCCGATCGCACAATCATCACATTGGACGATTTACAGATTGTGACAAATTCAGAGGTTTCGATGATGAATACAGCCAAGACCACTACCAAAAACTCATCGTCTTCGACCCCGCTTGCCTTCAGTCAATTATTGTGAGGACTAAACACGATGGCAAGATCCCCAAGAGTAGTCCAAAAGCCAAGCCATTTGAAGCACTCCTGATCATCGCCCGAAGATTGGCCATCTTCTCTGCACAGCTCTTCTTTTTCTTCGGGCAGCTTTCCCTCTTTTGCGGCTTTTGCGGACACTTTTGACTTTTCGCCTGGCACTTGCTCTCCTTTTTCACTGCACAACTTTTCCCCTTCTTCCTCTGCAACCCGATTCTTTTCTTCTCTTGCCTCTCTTCCTCTGCAAGCTAATCGAACACCAGAGTCAGGTAGCTGTCGGTCAGATCCAATGGCAAGCTCCCCAAGAGTAGTCCAATAGCCAAGCAATTTGAAGCAATAAAAAATCGATGGAAAAACCAATATTTCTTCTCCTTTTTTGTTGTTTTTAATTATCTTTTGAAGACTGAAAGAATTACATTTAAATAATGTGTAATTTACTTTTACAAGAGAAGGAACGTGTGAGTCGCTTCTGTGGACGCGACTCTACTTTTAGACCCGTACTCAGTCAGTATATAAATTTGTGAGCTTATGATTTCTAAAGATGTATTATCTAAATCTACATTACCAATGTCGATTCCACATCTGAAATGTAAATTCTACATACACAATGTAGATTCTACATCTCAAAGGTTAAGCATTGCACAGGGCAGCGTGTGTGCGAGCGAGAAAGAAAAAGAGTAGCTTCAACAGCGCTGGAGGAGGTGGGGGAAGCAACTGAAAAATAATGTCTATTCTGGCTATAATAATGATCCCATCCGATCTGATTCAGATTCGGCATTCTGGTAGATATGGTAATTCTCTACGATATTGCGTTCGGCATTCTGGTAGATATGGTAATTCTCTACGATATTGCGTTTTTAATTTTAAGCTGTGGCTGCCACAGATTTTCGACTTTTGTGGGGGCGGGGCGAAATTTTTAAGTACACTTTTTGCAGTGGTGATATCACATTAGTCTGGAACCAAAATTTGGTTGGTTTACCACAAATACAATATACCCCTTAGCTCTTTTTGAGTACGGGTATACAAATCGGAGAGGGGGTGCTTCTGACTGCATATATTTTCACTCTTTCACTCTCATACTCTAGGCTCATAGGCTCTCGTATGTTAGTTTCTAGCTTAAAAGCTAAGGCCGCTCGAGAGTCGTGTGTGTGGATCGTGAGAGCGGGCTGTAACAGTGCTGAGGACTCCAGGCTGTTACAAAAACAACTAAACCAAGCACCAAAGACTACATAAAAAAGACATCTTAGCATCGATGATTCAAAACTTGAATTCTCCTTCTCCCTATTCAGGACTACACTCTGGATATACCTGTAATATTGGTGGGCAACAAGACAGATCAGCCCGGAGATCGCATGGTAAGCCTGGAGGAGGGACAGCGTCGCTTCAAAGAGCTCTCCTGCGCTTGTTTCCATGAGATATCCGTCAGAGAGAGTGTGGATCAGGTGAGTAATATACCAGTATGAGAGAGAGCTCCAAAAAACTCTCATTACGTTCTTTTGCAGGTACTCAATGTCTTTCGTGATGTGTTTCGCTTTTGGCGAGTGTTTACAAAATTTCCGAAGCTCAAACGTTCCACCAGCGATGTGGCCAATGCGGCGGACAGCATTCTGACACCCGATTCCGGCTCCTGTTCCTTCTACGATGCCTCGTCGCTGGGCGCGGGACGGCGTTCGTTCCTGGTCATTGGCAGCGCCTGCCTGGAGGAGAGCAGCGGCGATCACACAGAGTCCACGGATGAGATTGCGAGCAGCAGTCTGAGCAGCTCGCGAAGCGACATCGATGCTCCGTTCCGCAGCCGTGCCTCGACGGATGGCACCCTGTTGTCGCGGCCCAGGCGATGGCGGTATCCACCGCCAGGCTGCCTGCTGCCGCACACAAATCGCGTCGAGCGACGCATGAGCATTTCCACAAGAGGCAGCAACGCCAGCTATTGAACGGGTTGAACGGGTGGGGGAAGGGTACGCAGGGGGGCCGAGTGAATAGTTAGTCGAAATGTAGCGCCAAATAAATACCTACTATAGATAGCAGTTATAATGGGAATAAATGCGTTTATTTATGGGAACTTTCATCAACAAATGTATTCATTTAAAACAGAAAAAAATGTATAAAACAATCAATTGTGAAGCGATGAGGAACAGCAGCCCCCAGCCCCCAGCCCCTGCTAGTCATCGTCAATCTTGAGCAAATACTCCTCGGCGCGCAGGGCCAACTCCCGGATGTTGCGCAGACAGCCAGCGGCAGCCAATTGCAGCTCCTTGTTGGTGGAGCCAATGCACTCCAACAGAAAGGGAACCACTCCACTCTGAAACAAACAAAGAGAGAGAGAGGACACACACATGAGATTCAGATAGACCAAAAGGGATGCTGTCCCCTACTTGGTGCATTGTGATGCAGTTCTGGGGATCCATCGATAGCTTCTCCAGCGCCATGGCCGTGCTGCGATGCACCATGGGATTGTCACTGGTCATGTAGGTGACAATCGGTGTGACGGTGCGCAGGCGTCCCAGCTCCTCCGTGTTGTTGCCGAAGCAGGCGCAGGCCGCGACGGCGGCAGCCAGATTCATGCGCAGCAGATCATCCGTGGTGTTGACCAGATCGGCCAACTTGTAGATAACCCGCAGATCGGTGAGTATGGCCAGATTGGTCTGGTCCTGGGCAATCGTGGCAATGGCCGCACACACCGCCGATAGCACCATAATGTCGCGCGACTTGAGGAGGCCCACAACCAGCTCCATGGCACCGACGAGACTGCGCACCAGCTCCGCGGAGTCATTGGCATTGCTCACACACGGACAGATGGCGTAGGCGGCATGGGCCTGCACCCGGGGGCTGGTGTTCTTCAGCAGGGACCAGATCAGACGCACCGCATCCAGCTCTTCGAGAATGCGCATGCTGTCCGGATCTTCGGCGCACTCTTTCAGCGACTTGGCGAGATTCTCCAGCAGCGGGGCGTGCGAGGAGTTGAGCAGGGCCACCATTTGGGGCAGGCCACCTGCCTGGCGCAGGGTCTGCCGGTTGCTCTGGAAGCGCACGCACTCGGAGAGGGCGCCGGTGACATTGGTCAGCACCTCATCGTCCTCGTCGTTGAGCAGCGCCACCAGATGGTTCACGGTGCGCATGTTGTCCAGCATGCTGACATTCACATCCGAAATGGCGCACATCCAGATGGCCCCGGTGGCGCCGCGCAGCAGCGGCTTGTTCTCCCGCACCGTCTTGTCCTTGATGATGGTCACGAGGGGCTCCAGGCCGCCCGCCTCGCGCACCAGATCCCTGGTCGTCTCGTCAAAGGCGCACTTGTAAATGGCCGTGCTGCCCTCCATCTTGAGGTCCGTGCACTCGGCACTCAAATGCGTCACGATGTCCGCTATCATGCCCTCTGTGGTGATGGCCAGCTGGAACTTGGGCTCCGAGGAGCACTTCTGCACCGTGCCCATAATGGGTATGACGACATCGATGTGGCAGGACTTGAGCAGGCGTGCCATCAGGGGCACTATGCCGCTCTTGCGCATCTGCTCCATGTTATGCTTCGAGTCGGCCAGGGTCCACAGAGCACGAGATCCAGCCCGTGCCATGTTCAGCGATTCCAGGTCTTCGGCATTCAGTTGATCCCGAGGGGTTTGCAGAATGCTGCACAGACAGAAGGAAAGTCGCTCAAGAAGGTCTGGAGACCCCAGGCCCAACACTTACCTCAGTTTGACGTCTATGAGATCCACCAGCTTTGGGATGCCCCCACAAGTGCGCACATATTTGCGCGCCAGACGCACCTTGCTCACATTCGCCAGAGTTTCGGCGGCCATGGTCTTGAGATCCTTCATGGAGGAGTTGAGTATGTCCACAATCAAGGGTATGCCATCCAGGTCCACAATCGTCTTGCGTATGTCTATGTTGAGGGTAATCTCGGAGAGAACCGTGAGGGCGCCCAGACAGCACTTTGTGTCGCTGCACTCCAGAATGTTCACCAGAACGTCGAGCCCGCCAATGTCCTGAATGGCGAACTGATTGATTTGTGTGCTCAGGTCGTAGTCCTTGAGGCAGCACAGCGACACTATGGTGGCCGTCTGATTGCCCGCCTTGATGTATTTCACCAGCTTCTGGATGTTGTAGTAGTCGGCGGGTATTTCCGCCGCACGCGCCACTTCCTTCCAGCGATCTTCCTCATCGGTGGAGGACTCCACCTCGGTGGTGTCCGAATCCTCGGCCACCACCTGCCGCTTGTCCTTGGAGAAGCGATTCGGACAGGAGCCGCATTGTTCGCGGATCTTGCGTTGACGCGTTGTACTGCTGGAGCCAGTGCCAATCATTATATTTTTGTATGGGAATTTTTTCCGGGTCGGGTGTTTTATGTAAAGGAATTTCTATTGATCAAATACGAACGGATGTGTGTTGCTAAGGTGACCAAGCCAAAATTTGAAAATGCCTCCGACTGTAGCTAACTTATCGAGTAAAAATTATGTATTTGCCAACACTGTTCAAGACTTTTGAATTGACTATCGCACAAAAGTATCGATACTATCGAATAAAAAAATATACATCGCTCCGGAGCCCATAATAATAATAATAATTATAATTATATATCACTTGGCGAGAGGAGCCTTGTCCTGCAACATTGTTCTGCAACTTTGGCACGGAATGAGCAATAGTCTGCATAATTTCTGAATATGGGTATTATCGGATATAGGATTTGTTTGTAATATCATTGCTACTCAGTCTCTGTTTTGAAGTTATCTCAACGAAATTTTGTAAATTATGATATCAAGAATTGGTATCGGGACAGGGAAATACTATATACAGAAAACAAATTAATAGGTAACAAACATGACAATCTAAACAATTTTAGTATTAATGTTACAAAGCAGTTTGGAACAACAAATTTAACATTATTTAATGGAAGTAGGGTGTACAAATGTCTATAAGAAACCTGGTTGACCAACAAATTCCGTCCAACAATTGGTTAATTGGAAAATTTATACATAAATTGATTAAAAGGGAGCCCTTCAAATTAACCAATCCCGTGGAAAATTGATTCATAAATTGATTAAAACCATACGTTCAAAATTTAGAATATGATTTCCGATTATGAACATACCTGAACCCATTGTCGGCCAGTGGGTATTTCAACTTACGCACGAATATTATGGAACTTTAAACATTTTATACGCACTTCAGCTGAAAGATATCTTGGTAGTATTTCTTTGTAAGTAAAGAGGAAGGATATACAAACATTGTTATATTCTGCGGGATAACTCAATGTTTTTCAATGTTTAAATAGACTGCGGTAAGTGGGTTAAGTTCGTTATTTTCCACGGTATATTAACGGTATATTATGCAATCGAGAAGGTACATTTTGGTATATTTCTGAGGGTCAGGCGGGTCTATTTGATCAATAAATGCGCGGTCACACTGCTGGCCTGTTTTGCTTTCGTTGTTTTCGTTCCCTTTCCAAGATCGCCGACGCAATACGCAAGCAGCTGCCACACGAATTAATTTGCTAACTGAATCGCCTTCGCCATGGGTAATGCGAGCGGTAAACGGGAGTCGGACAACATGTTCACCTCCGAGGAGATGCGGATGCTGGAGTACGCTTACAAGAATGCATCTGGCGGAGCTCTGGAAAAGTTGACATCAGACCGACTTGTTGTGAGTGTTTCAGGATAGATATATGCTATACTATGTGATCAATATGTGTGCTGTGTGCCGTGTGACACGTGTCCGGGGTCAAAAAAATCAATGTTCATTGAAGGCAGATGCGGAAAACTGCATGCTGCATGCTGCAGCAGCATGTAGTCACGGTCAAAGGGTCAAGGTTTTCGAGCGGAGTGCACTTTCCCCCCGGAGCCTCTAAGTGGCGGCTTGGAACTTGCTTGGCTGGTTGGAACCTGCTGCCCTGCCCCTGCGTGACAAATGAAATTGTGTGGGCTGTGTGTGGCTATCAGTAGTTTTCAATTGATAATTCCACTACCATCAAACGTAACGTGCCTCATAATTTGTCTAATTTGTTTGCAGAGCGCTTGTCACTTCGCCTCTGCTCTGCTCTGCTTCGCTCCGCTCCGCTCGGGGCTTTGTTTGCCTTTTGCTTTGTTGAATTTGCTTGCTAACGAATCACGAACTAATCGTGATTTTGATGGAAGGGGTCCCCCAATTAGGGCGCAATGAAAATTGAATTAAAAATAAAGAATAACCCGTTTCGCTTGCCCCAACAAAACGCTCTAAACGCTCTCTGCCCTCCCCTCTCTTGCGAGAACTCAAGCACTTGGCGGGCGGGCAATACGATGTCTGTGTGTGTGCAGTCTCAGCATTTTCTCAGACATTGGAAGAATGTGTCGACAGTAGCACTAATATGATGTTTATTCTGTATCCCAATGCGCATTTCCTTTTCGTTATTGATGCATATTATTTATTATGAAAACAGGAAACATGGTCTCAGACCATCGAACGATCATTGGCCGAGAGTACGGCTCAGTTTTTGTTTGTTCCAACGAAGCCCGGCCAGCAAACCGTCAATATACCGCTGAAAAAGTTCGCCGAACCCTACTACATCATGGAGCGCGGCACCATGGATCAGAAAATGCACATGTTGTTATGCTCGCTGCGACGCAATGGATCCGACACCTTCAGTGTCAAGCAATTGGAGCAGGTAGGAAACCGAATCGGATGCTCAATAATACATAGCAGCTCAAACTAATCTTTTGCATCTATTTGGCAGTATTTATTCTCCGTCATAAAGAGCTACGTGCATTTGGAGACCACTGCAAAGGGTTCCAGCATCAAGGACTGGCAGGAGCTGGGCTTCCTTACCACAGAGCGTTCGGTTTGCTCTCTGGCCAGGGGTCTGATGAGGAATATGGGCAAGGAGCTCGAGCATAGTATGCACAGTAAAGCACTGGAACGTTGGCTGCATGTCACGCCGCAGTTCCTGCTGATGTGGCGCGAGGTTTTCGTTCAACTGTATTCCCGTCATGGCGGCAGCAAGCGTCATATTATCAAGGAAGTGGAAATTCCTATCCTTCCAGAGCTGTGTGGTATGGCAAAGCATCCCTCCTGTTACATACATCTGTATATCCAGGACATTTATTATTCTCCCATTTTGTAGATGCCCCCAGCCACAGTCAGTATCGCCCAATTATCGAACTGCCGCACGTCTTGTACATTAACGCTCAATTAACCCGCGAGCTGCGCCACAAATGGCGTTTCCTTTTCTCATCGAAAATCCATGGCGAGAGCTTTTCCACCATGCTGGGTAAAATCGTGGAACAGGGACCCACGTTATTTTTCATCGAAGACGAGGATCAATACATCTTTGGCGGCTATGCCTCCCAATCTTGGTCTCTGAAGCCACAATTCTGCGGCGATGATAGCTCATTGCTTTTTACGCTAAGCCCCGCCATGCGGTGCTTTTCGGCCACTGGCTATAACGATCATTATCAGTATCTGAATTTGAATCAGCAGACAATGCCCAATGGCCTGGTGAGTCATGCCTACACATACAAATATGTATAATTGATTGATTGCCCTTCTAATTACCGGTTTTTCGTTTGTTTGCGTCGCGTAGGGTATGGGTGGGCAGTTTGAGTTCTGGGGTCTGTGGATTGACTGCATGTTTGGCGATGGACAAAGTGTGGAAACCTGTTCCACATATCGAGACTATGTGCAGTTGAGGTAAGGATATAATGCCAATAAGAGAGAGTGTCTATAAATCATTTAATATTCATGTATTCGAAGCAAACGAAAGCAGTTCAAAATACGCAATATGGAGGTCTGGGCCGTGGGCGATTTACCCGTCAAAGGCGAAGATGAGGAAGGCGGTGATGGTCAGGTTGGTCACACAAATCACTTAAATGTCAAAAACTGCACTTAAAGCTTTAAATATATTCGGAATCCTTTATAGAAACGCTCCATCTTGGATGGAAATTTGGAAGATCGTGCCATGTTGGAAATTGCTGGCAAAACGATGCATTCAGATGGTCTACGTGAACCCGGCATGGATGATTGATATTATCTGAATGTTAACCAAATTCAAGCTTGGTTTTATCATGTTCAAGAATTTATGAGACCATGCCCATTTTGGGTGTGCAGTTAAAATTTTTAATTCAATTTACTTTTAGCCTTATCGAGAATCCCCTATCAGAAACAAAAACAAAAACAAACACACACACAAACACACACAAAAGAGTCCTGCGAACAAAAGAGTATTTGTTCAATCCATTCCTAAAAGAACGTTTTGTTTAGCTAATAATGTTTATATACAATATATATATACAATGTATAATGGATATAGTTTATGTATGTAATACTGAGAGTATTGTTGTTGCGTTTTAGACCTTAAAAGTGAGAATACGAAATCATTTACAGCAAAAACGAAAGAAACAAAAGAAACCATAAGCAATGTTAGTTTGTCGAATTATTCTTTTATCCTGCGTCAATAAAATGCAAATGTGTTTGCTGAATTCAATTTATTGCTAAAAAATAATTTAAGCTTTCTAAACGGATGTAAACGGATTAAACAATTAAGAGACATGCCACCAAGGGCTAATCTTGGGCTGAAAATTATATTTTAGTTATGTTTTAAGTTCTACACCTAAGTTCTATATGAAATCCACTCAATGTTGGAGCTGAGACTTAGTTACAAATTTTTGCATATGGATCGACTATGTATATCCATTTTGGAGCTTTCTGGTGGGATGTGGAGAGCCTGTTCCTTAGTTTATATATCCACTGCATAGCCGGATAGTGTCACCCCCGGTGCAATCTCCTCCTCAACATAGGAGCCCGCCTGCTCGAAGGATCTGGCATTGCTGTTCTCAAAGCTGCGACCCACACTGGAGGAGCTCTGGTTCAAGGGAGGAGCCCGCTGCTGGCCAAAGTTGCGTGCTATCCCATAGTTGCCCGACATTGAGGTGTTGTAGCTCTCATCTTCGAAGCGGCGTCCAGTGGAGCGCAGCTTGGGTGCCTGGAATGTGTGCTGCTGATCGGCGTCCGAACCCCGGCGATTGTGGAAGTCATAGGTGCTCGTCTCCGAGCCCCTTGGATAGTTTGTCTTGCGCAGCATGGCCTTGAAGTTGAACGGCGGATCCTCGGAGTTCTGCAAAGGGATTTCCGAGTAGTTTTCCGAGTTTAAGTGAGAGGCTTAGGGACACACTTACATCGCCCTCGTTGCGTGCCATGTTCTGGAGCTCCCTTATTGGATCTGTAGGTGGATACGAGGAGCGTTGCTGATAGTTCCGCTGCGGCTGTTGACTGGGATTATTGCGATAGTAGTTGTTGGCCGAAGGCACCGGTGGTGGCGGCGGTGGCGCCGCATAGCCCTTGAGGGAATTACGACGCGATCCGGAGCGACCCCAGTTGGGATTGCTGCTGCTGCTGCTGTTGTAGTTGTTATAGGCATTGTTGTAGGCATTCATGTTTTGTTGCATTTGATTTCTGGCAAAGAAAGAGAACAAAGAGGTTGATATTCAATCGGTGCTAGATTGCTAGATTGCGATGTACCTCCTCAACTGCTGTGGATCTCGAAAGAAGCCCTGATTGCATATATTATCGCTCTCGCCCATGCGATCCCAATTGGTCTGGCATGCCTGCTCTTTCTTGTATGCGTTGTAGGTCAGGGCACAGGAAGTCATCGAGGGATTGCGCTGCAGAGGACTATCCCAGGCCTCATCGTCCTCCAGATTTTGGACCAGCAGCTGATTGGGAAACGCTTGGCGCGATATCGAATTGGCCGGATCCACCATATACTGTGTATCGTAGAAGGGTATCTGATCCAGGCGGAAGGGCATCTTCTTCATGGGCACTGGGAGGGGTCCCAGCTGCGAGGAGTTCACCTCCCGCATATTAATGCGCTCGAACGGCACCGCCCGGGTGCACTTGTTCAGGCCACCGACCATCCGTTGGTTGTAGATGTGCACCTAAAATGCGATGAGATGCTGGATCAATGAATCGATCAGTGGAATCGGAGGAATCAGTGGATCATTACCTGCTGTGAGAGATTGACAAAGTCCTGGAAGCGTGCCGCTCTGTAGTGCAGCAGCACCTGGAAGATGGATTTCTCACGCCATTTCTTGGCATAGGGTCGAATAAAGTCGGCGGTGTTCTCATTCCTCTGGCCCGTCTTCTCATTGACCAGCGGCGGCAGGCGCACGCGGTCACGGAAACCGCGATAGGCTGCAGGAACAAACAGAGTAACCCATTAGCAAACAACAACAACAAAAAAAAAGAGGGTCAGAGGGAGAAGTCACCTTAATTTAATTAAATTTTCATTTCTTTTCTATGCAGCACACTTATAAATCATCTCTCTGAGGTGTGGTGTGGTGTGGTGTGGTGGGGGGTTTCGCCTCTAAGTGTTATGTCTCAGAGAAGGAAGCCTATAAGCCGATTGGTTGCATCAGATACGGGAATGGGGTGGAAGCCACTAAGCGGCTTACAGAGAGAGAGAGAGAGAGAGAGAGAGGCAAGACCCTACTACCACCTGTCACCTGCCACTATTTAGTTAGAATTTCTATTCTTGATTACTTTTGTTATTTCTTTGTTTGAGATTTTATTGGTAGTAGTACGAGAGTAGTATGTGTGTAGAGAGTAGAGAGTAGAGTATTATCGATCGAGTGCTACACTTCGATATAGTGATATAATGATACGTGTATGTACGTGTACATATATCTAGTACTTATTGTGGATTCTCTTCATCGGCCGATGCCTGCTCTATTTTTGATATTCGCACTGCCGCCAGAGCCTCATCCATGCGCGTCTCGAGGAACATTTCCTCGGCCTCCGATGGCGTCTCACTTATGTCGATATGCTCCTCATCGTATTCCTTAAGTTTACCAACTTGAGTTTTTTTACCTTTTTGTATTTTGGCAGCCGCCAAATCGGTATGCTCCTGTCCCTTTTTGCCCACTATTCAAAACGGAAGAAAAACGATTTTGAGGGAAGTTTTGCAGGGGCAAACTGAAGATGAAAAACTCACATTTAAAGACTTTGCCTCCCTTGACACGTTTTCGGGCTAAAAGTGCCCGCATCATGGACTGCACTTTGATGACCTTCTTCACTTGCAGCTCGTAGTTTCTGGGGATCATTCAAAACAGAATCAATGGTGTCCCAGAATGAGGCTTTAGGCTTTGGGAACCATACCTGGCCAAGAACTCATCGTTGTAGTAGCGCAAAAATACTTTGGACTTGCCCAGGGCCCAACCCTCCATCTTGAGACGCAAAAATAGGAGACGACAATTCTCTTTGGTCATTTCCACGGGCTCATCGAAGTCAAAGGCGAGGAATTGATAGCTGAAAGGGGGTATTGTGTGTGTATTTATTTATGGTAAAGTCAAGCAAGTGAGGATGAGCTTTCGCCTACCGTTTTAGGAACTCATCGAAACCCAGTCGAGAGCTGTAACCCTTCTGCCGTGCAATGACCGTGTCCAGGACACCCAGAGCCTTCATCTGCTGCTGCACCACATCCGAGTGGAAGGCACGCGGCTTGTACTCCAAGTCCGCGCGTATGCAACGCACAAAATGCACCCCGAGACTGGCACTTTGGCTGAGCATTTTGAGCAGAGTCAGGCAGGTGAAGCGGAAATTGGCCGACAGAGTACGCAAATTGTTCACCTGGGAGATGCAGCCAGCACTCAATGTGTTTAGGGCCTAATCAGCAGAGAATTTATAGAGTAGAGTAGAGTAGAGTAGAGTATAGAAAGGATCTCCACTCACGTAGGACTTGCGCTCAGTTTCATCCTTATGCTGGACAGCCTCAAAGGGCATTGTTAGATTGCCAGCTTTGGTCAGTTGATTGGTGAACATGAGCATTATGCTCTCGTCCAGCGAGGAGCGGAACGTCTCAATCATTTCCGGGGGCACAAAGTCGCGATTGATGTCGGTGAAGGCGCGTGTATCGTAGATGATGCGGCCCGTATAATGGGCAACGGATATCTCAGTGGCAGTGTGCTTCTTCACAAACTGGCTGTGTTTCTCCGAAACGCGATCTATTCGAGGGGAATTCAACGATTCAGAAGAGGGTCATGGGTCAGCGGTGCATGGACTCACTCACCCATAATCAAGTCCTGATCCTGGCAGGAGCGTGAGGCATCATCGATGATGTAGAAGAGACCGTCGGGCTTGGTCAGCAGATTATCCAGAGCGGTCTTGTTGTCATAGAAGTTCAGGTTGATGGTGTCTATATCCTCGGCCTCCAGTTCCAGCATTTCGCTGATGAAAATGCGCTGATTGTAGTGGTATTGCATCTGCTCGTTCAGCGTGTTGATCATCAGCTGCTCCATGCCGTTCCGATTGAAGCACTCAAAGCCGAACATATCATGGATAACAATGGAATTGGTGTCGCCACTGGGGAAAGGCAATTATATATTAGAACATATATTATTATAAGCTCCGGACTAGGACTTACAAGACTGCTCGTGGAAAGGACATGTTCATGTTGATTCTGTTGATGATGAAGTCCACCAGTCGGGAGTAAATGGTGCTGGCGACTGCATCGCGTGCATCGCGCGCCTCCTCCGAGGTGTACTGCCGTCGCTCGGCCACACCTCCCTTGACCATTATAAAGTTGGTCAGCGACCACATAAACTTTTTCTCGTCCACCCTCAGGAGCTCGGCAATGCGCGACACAATGTCCGTGTTCTCCACTTCGGCGTACTTGCCGGACGGTCGGAAGCGAATGTTGCCAATGTTCAGGATGGCAGCCAGCACCTTGCGCACCGTCTCCAGCTGCTTGTGGCTAAAGTCCAGATCCCGGAGGATGTTCTCGAACTCCCGGAAGTGCTCCACATTGCCCTCGGGATCATCGCGACGATACTTGATCTTGGTGGGCGGAGCATCTGGGGGTACGCGCAGATAGCGATAGTTGCGCTCCGCCTTCAGGTTGTAGTCCTTCAGCTGATTCTGCTGGCTGATGAAGTCATAGAAGTAGTAGAAAATGTGGAAGTTGTGCTGGGTGCCATCACATGTGGCCACGCGCAGCTTCTCCAGCATATACATGTTGAATACGGCGCCACTCATCTTGCCTGTCTTGCCGAACGTCAGGCAATACTGCAGGACACAGCGGGTGGAGTCATTGTTGACGGGAGTGCCGGCATTCACCAGCATCAGGATGGCCTTGATGGAGGTCTCCACACGCCCGGTGGCACCGCGATTGCCAGCCCCCAGATAGCACAGATGCTTGATCAGCAGTCGGGCATTGGTGGACTTGCCCGAGTAGCTCTCCCCAGAGAGCACAATGTGCTGGGGCTCGCGATGATGCAGCATATCCTGGTAGGCGATATCGGCCACGGAGAAGATATGCGGTTGGTTCTCCGAGCGCGACTTGAAGCGATATTTGGCATGGAACTGCAGGGGTCACAGAATCTATAGACTTTTATTCAAATTAAAAACAAAAATAATTGGCTCCTACCTCCGGCAGGAATTCACTTGGGAGCTCATTCGAGTTCAGGGACAGCAGAATGTCGCCTATGAAACTGAACGATTCACCAGTCATCATGCGATTCCGTAGCGAGTCGATGATGCTCTCATCCACGGGGTTCTCGAGGGCTGCCAAATCTTCGGGGTACATGCGTTCCGGCTTGCCATCGAAGCGCTTGATATAGCCGCGATCCACGAACAGTTCCGGCTCCTTGTACAGGTTCTTCACGTCACGCGAGAGCTCCAGCATCTCGGCCAGGTCCGACTGCATCTCCTCCTCGTTCTCAATGAGCTCCGTGAGGAATGGATGCTCCACCATCTCGACCATCATGGGACGATTCTCGGCATTCTTCTCCAGGCACTCGGCCACGAAGTCGTTGATCTGCTGGGACCAGTTCGTGGGTCGCATCAGTGTCGGCGGCGGATTGCGTACGATCTGGAACATGGCCCGAGTGGGATGCATGTCGGCGAACGGCGGCTTTCCATCGGCCAGCTCAATGGTGGTGATGCCCAGGGCCCAGACATCTGCCCGAACGGTGATATCGGGCTCCCGCTTCTCCATGGCGGCGACCACTTCGGGGGCCATCCAACAGGGCGAGCCAATGCAGGTTCCCCGCTTCCCCAATGTCGAGTCCACTTGACGCGACAGGCCGAAGTCGCAGAGCTTCACCCGTCCGTTCTTCGTGAGCAAAATGTTGTCGCCCCGGATGTCCCGGTGCAGGACATGATTGCGATTCAGCTCGATGGCTGCCCGACACGTCTCCCGGATCACGTAGGCAATATGCTCCTCCCTCATCCTGCGGTCCAGCTTCAGCAGCTTGTTAACCATATCCACGGCTGTTCCGCCAGCACAGTACTGCAAGGATTACGTTGAGTCACAGGACTGCTTGGGACTTTCCCTCGCCCCGCACTTACCTCCAAAACGAACCAAATCTCATCGGGTCCATTCGGCTTCGAGAGCTTATAGACGCCATAGAACTCCGGCAGATTGGGATGGGCACAGTAGTCGCGCAGCGTGCGATACTCCTCCTCGATGGACACCTGATGCTCCTCATCGTAGTGCTGTATCTTGAGTGCCACAAGGCGATCGGTCTCCAGTTCCTTGGCCCGAAATACTTTGGCATTGACACCTTGGGCTATCTCCTCGTAGATCTCGAACTTATCCGTTGGATCCGGCAATTGCGAGTACGGTAAATACATCCTGACTGACTTTCCTCTTTTCTTTTTGCTGCTTTCAACGCGAGAAGAAGTGTTCTGTGGGCGTGTTAATTGGTTTATTCTTCGGGGGAAAATACGCATAAAGAGGGTATTGCAAAATTAGGTTCTGGGGTGCCGTGTCTGCATTGTCAGGGCTTCGTTTGGTTTCGAAAGAACTGAAGAATGCAACTGGGTGGGTAAAGGATTTATTAACGTAGGTTCTGCCCTTAAACATATATCTATGGGAAGACTACAGGAAGGGATGGAGAAGGGCAATCACTCTCCTAGTTCAGCCCCAATCTGTGCCCAAAAAGACACCTAAAATGTAGGGTAAAAATGACCCCAGCAAGAGGCACTATAGGGAAGGACCCTGAATGAGAGATGAATTAAAATTTCAGAGTTTTTGTAAGGATATTCTCCAGTCCTTTCTCGTATCACTTCACTTGGAATTAGTTTATGTTGAACTGCCTGAAACGACGCTCCCCAAGAGCACAACACTCATCACATAATCCTTGATCCTTGAGCTCACAGACCTTTTGCTTTTGCTGATGATGATGATGGTTTCCAATTAGATTTCCGAACCGACCGCACGCATGCAGCACGTACCGCTGCCGTAAGCCAACTAAAGGCTGGTCAAATGCAATCGTTGGCTTTTTACTAGAGTTCGCCGCTCAAGGAAGGCAGGAAGCCCCGCAATCCCAATGGGCAGTAGCCAGCACAGACAACACATGAGGGCAGTGGGAGGTGGGGGGGGGGCAAAAACACCTTGGGCAACTATTTAGTCGACTAATTCAATTAGCATTGCCGACATTCACGTGCAGACCAAAACAAAGCGCGGGGCGAGATGTGATGGGCAGTGGAAATGGAGAACCGATTGAAACTCAGCTGATTGACAGACTAATTATGCATCTTATTATTTGTATTTACAAAATATATATTTATATTTCATTTTTTATATATATATATATATATAGATTTCAATATGTCTTGGGATTGCTAAACTAATCATTGAATTTACACATTTCAATTATCGTTTGTTTATGTTTTCGTGTTTTTTCTGCTTTTATGGTATATTTATTTGTTATTGTTTAATACTGATTTGTGTTAAGTGTTTTGTTTAGATTGAAGAAAAGTCTTTTCTTATGTGATCGCTGACGATCCTTCTCAATTGCATATACTAATCCACTCCTCCACGTGGCACTCCTCGCACTCCACGCTACAGCACCATTGAAATTTACAGCGACAGCGCTCCGCCCGTCGCTCGATGATTTGACTGTGGCCACGCCCACAGCAGAGGGAGGCGCACCCATCGCTGGTTGTTGTATTGCGATTGCATTTGCGACCCACTGTGCCTGGAATGGGACAGAAGTGGAGCAAGTTAGAAGATTAATTGTAGTTATCCATAGTAAGTGAGCATTGCTGCGGCTTAAATGATTCCTAAGTGAAAGGACTCTTAGAAATATATTTAAAAAATACAACTTTAGGTTGTGATCTCTTGCTGGTGGAAAATGAACTTTAATCTGCATATCAATTTCTGACTTTCATTGCATTTCAATTTAATTAAGTTGACAGCCCCTGCAGCCAGCCGTCCATTAAAACACCATAAATAAACTATTAAACTGAGGCCTATAAACAAAGTATCATAATTGTTGGACGATAATTGCCAACGTTAATTGCCACCATTTGCCTAGACACGACACGACGTGGCACACGGGGCACATGAATCAAAACGCCCGAATGGGGCTGGAGAGCCAACGGCGAGGAGAGCTCGGACGACGATTAATTATAAATTTGCGTCGTAATTAACACTTTTAAACTGTTTGGCCGGCCGCTGAGCGGCCTCCATTGCGGGCTTTGATAATTATAATTTGCAAATGTGTCAACAGCAAAAATGGCCAGCAAAAATTGCAAGTGGCAGTTAGATGTGGACGTGCCCGTGCCCGTGCCGGTGCCATGCCGAGCCCCAAAACTCGAGCCAGATCTCAACAGATCAGCGTTGATCCAAGTTGATCCGAGATGGAGCTAAGGCTGATGCTTGGATGCTTGATGCTTGGATGCTGAAGCAGAGTGTGAGGCTGAGGCTGCTGTGCGGCCGCATGGGTCGTCGTCGCTGTCTGTGGGTCGCAGCATTTTTTGTTTGTTGTTGTTGTTGTTTTTGTTGAGTTATGTGGCATGTTTTGGTAGCCCGTTTATAAATCGTTTTTTTTCTTTTCGTTTGTGGCTGTTGTTGTTGCATTTTTACTGCTGCTGCTGCTGCGGCTGCTGTTAATTTGCATTTGTGATTTATTTATTAGAGCCAAATCAAATTTATCGCGCGAGTCGTATCTATAAATCATTTTTAATTAGTTGAACCAATTTTGACGACAACAAAACTGCAAATTAACCAATTAGGTAATGGTTTTTTTTTTGTGATATATTTTGTGATATTTTGTGCATTGTTCATGGGAATTTGAGTAGATAAATTCAGGTAAAGTAGGGACTTAAATCCCATGCAGACTCACCCTGTATATCTGCGCCCACGTCCCGCTCACAGAAGTTGGGCGAGCGCTGATAGTAGAACAGCGACGTCTCCATCTTGCGTGCCATTCGTGCCGCATTTTTATCAGCGTTCGGCTGCTGACGTGTGCCACGCTCCGAGCCGAGATCCTCGTGCCGCCTCGCCTCGTGATCGGCCGCTAGGCCATCGAGCGTGCCAGACGCATCGACGGCATCCATATCGGAGGACGTGGAGGAGCCGGAACTGCTGCCACCGTTTGACTTTTTGTTGCGGGACCGCTTCAAGACGACGACGGGCTCGCCGTTGCCCAGATTCGACTGGTCCACGAGTATGGCCTTGCGGAACTGGTGCTTCAGTACCTTGCCGACGACATGAAAGTCGGGGGCGGACTTCCAGCAGGTCTTCAGCTGGCAGCTGCCGGACATGCCGTGGCACTTACAGCGGAACTCCATGTTGTTCGAAACGGCCTGGATGGATAAATAAACAATTAGAGGGCGGGCCCCATTCGATTCATTCACGTGAGACTGACTCACCACTCTGCCTGCATGGTTGTTGTGCAGATTGATCTTTGATTGGATGTCGCCCGCCTTCTCGCGACAGTCGAGAAAGAGCTTGGAGTACTCCACACCGAAGTCCATGTTGTGGGAGCATCCGCCCCACTTCCAGCGGCTGGCGATCTTCGAGCGCTCGTACTTCTTCTCCTCCTCGGGCGTTAGAATCTGATTGGTCTCCAAGTACTGCAAGAACTGCTTCTTCTCCTTGTCCAGCGACTGGCGGAGGTTCTTGTTGAGGGTCTTCCGATTGATGGTCGGATCGCAGCCGCAGGACATCAAACGGCCTTGACTGCAGGCCCGCGCCACGCTGTGGGCCACCCCGGCAGCCGAAATGGCAAAAGCAAACGCGCTCTCCCTGTAGCCTAAAAGGGTAAGAAATGTTTCTTCAGATGGCCATAAAGTGGCAGAGGGGATTGGTGTTGCCTTCTGCCCCTGGGGAATCATTGGCGGGAAACTATCGCAATTTATGCGGTGTTATTTTTAACGCTGCATTCGGAGCCGCTCTGGGAATTTCAGCGGCATTTCGACTTTGACATGGTCTGGACAAGCGTTCGCAACCAGGCCACAGCTTCAGCTTCAGCTCACAGTCACAGCTCACAGCTCACCAGATCATTTTTAATGATGCAGTGCAGTGTGCCACACCCGCACCCACAAGACAGAGAGAGAGACAGAGAGACAGAGAGAGATATGATATTTGAAATGCCTTATGCAGCAACAGCAGCTGTCAAATGGCTGTCAAAATGTTGACGTTAATCATGGCCGACATGGCCATGAGTGGCCCCAAAGTTGGCAACATTTGTCAAGCGATTGACATGCAAATTGTCAGCGCCACTTTGCATAAAACCAAACTCAATTCAATTCAATTCCCCGATCAGAAAGCAGAGAGACCAGCGGAGACCAGCGGAGACCAGCAACCAGGCAGGGATCAGGCACTAGCGACAGTACATATGTCAATGTGACAGGCTTGCATCATTCTCAGGCCTCGACGGACACTCCCCTCTGCTCCGGCTCAGCTGTCAAACAATCCGTCAGTCAAGCCGGCCAGTCCGTCACTCAGGATGCGCACGAATGCAAATGTCAATGTTGTGACAAGTTGTCGTATCGTACCAATCCGGAGACGAATCAAGCGATCCAGCGATCCATCGAATCGATCCAAACTGCAATCGAAGGTGGAAGTGCAATGGGAAATTCCCTGTGTGTGTGTGTGTGTAAGCGCGCATTTGATTGACGATTAAGACGCCATCAATCAATGCATCAGTACGAACAGTAGCCCCGCCAAAAGTCCAGCCCAGCCCACCCCTCGCTCTACTCTTCTCTGCTCTGGCGGTTCTCTTCCAACTTGTGATTGCTGATCGCTGATCGCTGATCACGGACTTGATTTATGCACGCTTTGTCTTGCCCCTCGTCGAGCCATTTGCAAATCCAAATCACATCATTGCCAACAGTTACATTTGACAATGCCTTGGGGTCTCTCTCTCTCTCCCTCTCTCTCGCATAAATTGGCCACAAAACCGAACGAGGAGAGGCTTGACTGGACAGTGGACAGTGGACAGTGGACACTGGACTGGACATGGCTTTGGCTTTGGCGACCTGTCTCTGTGCTCAAGTCTACAGTCTACAGAGTACAGAGTACCCTGTCTCCAATGTCTCGTTGTCTCCCGTGTGTTGCAATCCCAAGTAATTGTTTGCGACATACGTCGCTCGCTTGTTGTCACATGCATTTGGCTGAGGATCCAGAGAGAGAGGGAAAGAGAGAAGCCCAAAGATAAAGGTCGATCGTCGATCTTCAGTCGTACGTAATCCTTTTACTACTTTTGTGCCCCCAGCCTCCAGCCACCAGCCTCCAGCCACAGCCTCCAGCCTCAGTTGATTGACAATAATGCATGGTAGCAGCAGCAGCAACCCAAGATCAGCGCGATCTGCAACGACGATCTCTCAACGATCGACGATCGACGAGTTCCATAAGTTATAGTAGATATGTATGCAAAATAGTTGACCTGTCCGTGCGCCGTTTCGATTGTCAGTCATTGTGCGATTCGGTTCGACTCGAATCGACTCCACTCGACTCGGCGACTTGATTTGTTTCGTTTCACTTGGTTTGCTTCAAGCGATCGTCTGGCCCGATCTCTGTCCATCGATCCCTGACTTTGTGGCTGCCTTTTGTGCCCTTATAAGTCGTTCCCGTCGTACCTCGTCGTACCTCGTCGTCGTTGCACGCGTTGCTGTTGCCTGTCAATATTGACTCTCGTTATGTGCAGTTCCTTCCTTATTTAATGGACGCACGAAACGGGCGGGTTGACAAACGGACAGTGGACACTGGACAGTGGACACTGGACAGTGGGACACTGGAAAGTGGGACAGACGTACGATCCTCAGACATGTCGGTGACATAAGCTTGGGTTTACCATATTCGATATTGGATGAAGGCTAGTCGAGAGTTACTTGGAAGTGCTGCTGGTGTGGCATGCATTTGGAGATTTATGGTTTGGCATTGTTTTGTGGCAATGTTGTTAACTTTAACTTTAACTTTAACCTGCGCGTTTCTGTCTGGCATTTGGACCGATCATGATGGCCCACTCAAGATTGCGGC